ATTTTTTTATTCTCAAAATTACGGGCCAAATATTATTGCTGGCGGGCCAACAATGGCCCGCGGGCCGCCTGTTGCCGACCCATGGTCTACGGTTTACTCGCATCATTCAAAAAAGACGCGCTGGCTCAGGAGCTACAACTACAACAAAATGAACATATTTTACCGTGATTAAATTGTAATACACGTTTCAAAATGATGCCGAAGTAACAACATACTGATACCGGTTAGTAAGAACCATGAATTAATGCTTTGACAAGTCTGCAGACAAGACGGCAGGCGAAAAACCTTTTAAAATGCGTGTTGTCTAAATGGACCTTGGCTAAGCTAACGTTGTATATGCTCCGACCATCCACACTCACAACAACGGCCTATACAGACATAAATAAACCAGCGACTGTATTCGCCATGACACAGACAGTCTGTGGTTTGTACTTGTTTAACTTTTGTCTAGTTTCTTTACAGATATGAGGAGCTGTGAGCTCTGAGTGCTAACAACTAACGGCAGATGCTGGATTTGTGTTTCGCATTGAGGATGACGTCACGGCTCCGCCTACACTGCGTTACTATAGATAATACCCCAGTTCCTCAAATGTAATGGAAACGCAGCATAAAGTGAGCCTGGCCTAACAAGGCCTAACGAGGCCTAGCCATACCGTACTAAGCCGAGTGAGGCCCTGCAGTGGAAAAGCGCCATAAGGGGCAAAGTATCCCTCTAATGCTTTGATATACCAGTAAAGATTGCACTAATTTGAAGCTTTTCTTACCGTATATTCAGATGACAGAGGCCGGAAGGAAGTGTGGGGCACAGAATGAAACTTGAGAAACACTTTCGACTGGGAAGAAGACCTCCTTCAGCGTTTTCAATACTCTTGTAGTTTCCTCTTTTTTTACATGATGTTTGCAAGATTTAGAATGTTACAAATGTTTGCATCTTTTCTCGAAACAATAACAGGACAAGATATCTCTGCCAAATAATCAAAGCAAAAATATGTTAGGCACAATTTGGGGGCTTGCGACAAGGTCCTTCTGGTTCTGCTGCTGAATATTTTGCTGTTTGTGTTTTTAGCAGAAGGCCTCCAGTTGGGCTGAAGGGGAGTCAACGGGAGACTTGGTGGTGTGTTGCTGTTGTGAAAAAGCAATACTTCCTGTTTCGCCCCACATGCACTCACACACACCCCTTCTCCTCTAGTCAGGCGTTGATTCTCTTGGCGTCCCCACGGGCGAGGAGAGGGGTCAGGGTTGGCTCCATCTGTCTATGTGATGGGCATTGGTGCCAAGCGCCACAGGGGCTGGATGGAGAGGAAAGAAGGCTCGTATGCGGGAGGGTAACGGATGTTTCTGAGCTGTCATCTGGGACTCTGTGCGGGGCAAAGGCTGAGGCTGAAGCCGGTCTTGGAGAGAGGGAAGGGGCTGAGGGACCGGGATAGGGATAAGGGGGTTAGAGTAGACAGGGCTGAGGATGGAGGGATGGCTTGGGGGTAGAGATTGTGCTGAGACTTCACTGCTGTTCTTAGGGTTGCAAATATGGCTGGCAAAGGGAATTGATGCTGAATACGAATTTTCAGGCAAGCTGAGCTTTCTTTCTTTTCTACAGTCACATTGGAAAGCAAAGGCAACCAGGGAGCCTCACTCTGTCCGGAAACAATGAAGAGACAATAGCCGAGTCAGTGTCACTGTCCTTGCACTGTCAGGATCACAATGGAAAACCTAAGATAGAAAGAGAAAAACAGTGACCTTCACATCAGCTGCACATACTGCACTGTAAACTCTGCCCTATTGTTCAGCTTAGCAGGGTGTTTCTACTTAGTCCTCCCTTGTTCTGCCAATGATTAACAGCCTATATCCCTCTGACAGAAACTACATGACTTTGTACAATTTTTAAAAATGCTTGATCTCTCGAAACAGATTTTCTTGTCTCAATTGCATGCCCAATCAGGACTATTGCCACTTGGATTTGGCAACATGGCTTTAGAAATGGCAATATTTGTCCGTCTACCACTTTGGTCTAGGTGATATCATTCAAAATATATTGGATGGATTGCTATTACATTTTTATGCAGACATCCGGAGTATACTTTCTGTTGACTATTGTGATTCGCTGACAGATCTTGCCCCACCAGTGTACCAAAGTTTCAACCAAACACATTCAACTAAAATGTTTACGAAGACAAGCAGTATACCTGCACCTGCATTGCCATTGTGATCAAGTTAGCATGTTCACCAGCTTGGTTGTAGACTCTTGTTCCTCAACGGTAATTGACATTTATTTTTAACAGACCATTCCCGTTTCAATTCCCCCTTCAAACGCTCTAGCTTCTCTCAGATGGTGTACTCCATCCTTTCTGATCAAGCTCATTTCTCGGTTTGCGGCAAAGCATCAACCCGACCGGCATGACCTGCACCCCTGACACCTCATCCACAAAAACACATCTCCATCTGTTTACACTCAGATCCTCTCTTATCTCAAACCCTTCCAAACCTTCCTTATTTGTTCAACCATTTTACTCTCCTCCTCCTGTCTCACCCACAAAGCTCATTTTTATGGCTAACCTCTTATCTCTGCACCGTCTGCTCTGGTGTTTTGGCGCTGGAGTGGGAGATGTGTGCATGGGGTCAGGGGGATTACTTGTTTTTGCCACAGATCCCCTCTTGCTGCCTATTTCAAAGCCCCTATGGCATGCAAACCAAACCATATTTCTCTCAGAGATTGTGGTGTTATTTCCTCATTCTACCGGCCATTAATCAACAGCATTAAAAATGTGCCGATTCATCCACTCGTAACATTCCTCAGTATTGTTTCCCCACAACATAAAACAACACATATTAACAATATAGGCCCAGATAGTGAAAAATATGATTCATAAAAGTGCACAGCAATAAAACATTTTCAATCAGTTATGTAATATGGCATATGGCATTTCCCTCTTTTTAAATGGAGCTTCCTCCTATCAGTAATGCTGTTGACAAGATGTTGCCTAGCCCAGTGTTTAGCACATGTTTGGGGAACAATTCAGCCCTTTTAGACCCTATTTACACGCAAACGCAAACAAAGTCTTCCGTTCACACGAGACCGCTCGGGAGCGCTGGAGACGCTGTAGTACATATGCCGGGCCTGTAAGTGGCGCTGTACTTCTGCCACAAAATACACCAAGAGCAGCGAAGAAGACCCCCGAGCATGGTTGTCATGGTTGCCCTTCTGTTTATGCCCCACTGTGGATTTAGCAACATGTAGTTCATGTAACTCTTCATGTCTACTTGTTGCTGATGGTTGTGGTAGAGGAGCTGTAGATGTTGCACTAACATCTGTAGCATGGTCAGTAGCTACTGTCAGTAGCACTAGCAGTAGCTACAGCAGTGAGCAGCAGAGGTTTGCAAAGGTGGGGCTATGGCTACATCATTATCAAGAAATTATCGTATAGGACGTACACACGGAGCCGTTTGGCCCCCCAGAGCGTTCTGGTTGCAGATCTATCCACCTTGGGACCCGTTATCGTTTGCGGGGTCCGTTTCCGCGTTTCCGTTACGGCCTCGTGTGAACGAACGGGCTATACGAAAGAGAAAAGTAGCGGATACAAACGTTTGCGTTCTCGTGTAAACAGCACCTTAGAAAACAATGTAATGCAGTGAAGAATACGGTGGTTCCTTGTGTGTTTACCCTGTGACAACATCGTAATTAAGGGAGGGGTGGTCTTTGGAAACAAGAGGAACGAGAGGCTCTGGCTGCCACTCCTCAATCAGATCCTCCTTCTCCTGTAACATGGAAGCACATGACAGCCGTTTAGAGACACAAGCCCAAAGACACTAGTGATGTTCATGTGTCTCTGCACTCTGCTCACCTTCTCTGTCAGTTTAAAGGTGTCATGGAGCTTGTAGGTCTTAGAGAAGAGAAGTCTGATGATCCACAGAATGAGGATCCCCTCCAGGATCAGGTGGTACGCAGGAGCCTGAGGAACAAAGAGACAGGAACATTAGGAGGGGCTGTGGATAAGGACTGTTGGTGCATGGTGCATTCCTGAAGGTATACTGTCCAGCAGCGTCTCATTCTATAATCGTTCCTACAGAATGTTTTATTTTTTTATATTTAACAAGGATGTCATAGATTTTAGCATCAGACCTTGGCTCAATGATGATATATGGATGTAAATATATTGTATATTTTTAATTGTTGTCATTAAACAAAACCAAACTAGAAGGGATCTGAAGATCAAAACACCAAATATGATTTTTATTTTATTTCGTTTTTTGTCAAAAAAAGTGTTTTCTTAAATAGTTTTTGGTTAAATAGGTTTGTCTTTGAATAAATGTTGCTGTTGTTGTGTAATGAAATGTTGTGTTTGGACATTTTAGGCCTTTATTTCCACCAAACATCCTCTAATACACAACTTTTTTATATGAATTCCTTAACTATTAGTTACTTTCTGGTTATTAAAAAGTCTTTCTGAAACATATTTTAAAGTTATAAAGTGACGTACAGCTATCATTTGTATTATCGTTAACAAAATAGATTAAAGTGGTGTAGTTATGAAGTAGACCAAACATTTTACACTGAAAAATATGTTGTATAATAGGGTAGTCTAGTGTCTCTTAAAAGGTTACATCAGCGGTTCCATAATTCAGACATTAAGCTCCTTTGGTCTGAGGCTATATAAGTGGTACTATCAAGCAAGGGATCTTCTTAAATTTACATTACCAATCGTAAAGAATTGTAAGATTATCAAGAAGATTTAATGTAACTTATGTCTGTTGAACTACAGAAGTTCATGACTTTAACTAGTCAATGTTCACGTTTACTGGCATTTAAGCTCAATGCCAAAACGTAACGTTAAGCCAATTCTTAACACATTGGAATTTACGCTTCAGCTTGGCTTCTACTCAACAATGTGTACAAATGAATCTGTTTAAAATTATATTTTATACTTTTCTGGCTAGCTACCGAAGAAACGTAAGGATTTCAAGGAGCATGCCGATGTCTTGCTTCGCTTCTGCACGCTGATTGGAGGTTGCAGCTCACATACGCCACGTGATTGGTTGAGAGAGAATGAGACACCAGCCTACCCGCCGACCGACGGCTACTTCCTGACTTCCTGACTGACGAGTTTACGAATAACAGCCGCGAACAAAGTTGAGAAAAATGAATGAGTGGCTCAACAAACGATACATGTATTTGTTAACGCCATATTGTACACAGAAGAGTTGTAGAGAGGAGAAACTTGCCTCATAAAACGCTTGCACCATTTCCACCAACACCCACTGCTGTCCGGACGCCATGTTTATCTCCCTCCCCTGCTACGTCATCTGTGGTGATGCGTTTGAGTTCCAAAGGGAAATAGTCAAACTGAGCGTCCGTCCATAAAATACACCTTGAGCTAGAGCCGAACTTCAACCATGACTTCTACCCTCTTCCACACAGGCGTCACCTTGTTAGAAAAAGTGGGTGGGGAACAATATACATATTTAAAATAAACAAATACAATAAAATAATCATTTAAATAATCATTAAAAAATTATGAAATAATGAAATAAAATAAGAATATAATACATAATACAATCATAAAAACTAACTTGAAAATATATAAATACAGGAATGTAATATGAACAAAAATGTTTCACTTAAACTAAACAAATATTTAAAAAAAGAGGTTTTAATAAATATGTCCCGTCCAAAAGTCATAACAAAATGTTATTAATGTAGTAAATCCACCAAGGAGAGTGTTAGGAGATGTGTGAAGTGATAGAACTTGACTTTATGACAGGGACGTTATTTAAAGGGGACCTATCATGCAAAATGCACTTTTTGATTTCTTTTATACATAAATATGTGTCCCCGGTGTGTCAGGGAACTCACGCAGCGTCAGAAAATAAAACACTCTCTCTTTTCCTCCGTACCCAAATCTCTAAAAACGGGGCTACAACGGAGCTGATCCAGATTTGCGGCCGATATGACGTCAAATCGGCGGCGAACCCACAGCACTATCAGAAAAGTTGCTATCAGAAACAATGCCCGACTGTTTTGGACGTTATATGGTCGGTGTTTACATTATCATTGTTAACGCTCAGAGCTAACCTGTACTGGAGAGCATGTGTGTGAAGAAGCAGGAAATACAAAAGGAACTCACCTTGTGGTATAACCGGCAAGAGAGAAAGCCTTTGAGCTCCATACTGTTTCAGAAATAATCCTTGATCTAATAATCCTTGTGTTTCATCATCGCAGCATTTTAG